TCTTGGGGCGCACTGCATTGTGAATAGCCCGAATTAACATGAGGCTAAGAGCGTTTTTGAAACGACTGGCTTCGGCTTCGCCTTCGGCTTAGGGAGATTTTAGGCCCCGATTTCTGGAACTCCAGCAATAGTTTGGTGCCTGTTATGCTTCAGGAACATTCAATCGGTTGATGTGAAGCCAAAAGTTGGAATATTTTTGTTTAGTTTGCCTTTCAGTGATTCAGAAGTCGGAAGCAAAGCCGAAGCCGAAGACGAAGCAAAGATTTCGAAAACCCCTAAAGAGAGAGTTGCATTCGCGTGGTTTTCATAGTCGGTTGGCTTATTGTCCAAAAATGATTTTTGACTTATGCAATTTTGTGTATTCTAAGGAGCGTATACAGGGCATCGTTTTTGAGCCGAAATGAAACAATTATTGATAACCCAGTTTCGCTGAGTTTCTTTTTTGGGACATTCATGTAGAAACGTTTGTAAAATAAGAATAGTCATATATTGAGACTTTTTGCAGAAGATGACCAATCAAAATTTAAAATTGTAGAATATTATCACTAACTAAACAGAGCGGGAACAGTACGGGCTATCGCTATACAGAGACAGCCGGGCGTGGCGGTAGGCGAATTATCTTTTCCCAAACTACATTCATTATACATGGTTGTAATGCGCCCTCTGCGATGCTTTTATGATACGTACGCAGGTATATATATTTTTCCCCAGGATTTGTCGAGCATGCAGTGCGATAGCTCAGTCGCGAGGAATCATCGCGGTGTGTGGTCATGTCACCGTTTTGTACCCGTCACGAATTGTTTTTCTTTTTTAATCTGAGGCTTTGGATGATTATTTTAATGAGAGAATGTGAGTTCGAATCCACACATTATAATTTTTTTTTACTAATTTGCAGCTTTGGAGGAATTTTTTTAAAGGAAAATAAAGTCCAACTTTAATAAGGTTCGATTTCATTTCTTTCTTTTTTCTATGATAAGTTTTTTCTCATGTAAGGCCAAAAAAAACGGTCTCTGGTCAGCGCGGGCGTCGATTTTAATCATGCGCGTCAATTTTTTTTTCCCAAAATGTTCTGCGGTAGCTCCAACAGCGCCCTTTATTACCGCACTTCCTCAATTTTTTTCCCAAAGAGCACCAAGGAATGGGAAATTGCACCAAGGCAAATGATCGAGAGCACCAAGGCAAATTATGGAGGACACCAATGTACATGAGGACACCAATAAAGCTAAATAGTACCCCATCTTGTCTGTACAATCCAAGCTTGAAGAAAAGAAAAAAGAAAAAAAGAAAAAAAAAAGCCGCGTCCCCGCGTCAATTCCGGAACTTTGGTCTGACCAGAGACCGAATATTTTTTTCTTTTGGCTTAATAGAGAAGTAAAGTTCAAAACCTCAAAACGTACACCCTATTTGCTTATGTTGGGGGGGGGGAATCGCAGCGGGGCCGTAGCGGGGATGAAACACTATGGTGTCAGGCCAAACAGCTACTAGCTCTGGACGGGGTTGGAACGGCTGGCATACGAGACGACCGCAATATCGATTCAAGATAAAGGAATATTACGGTCAGGAACACGCCCATTTGGGCTGCAAAATGCGTTTTAATCGAAACGAAATTTTATAAACCGTGTCTTTCAATCTAATGCATTTTAAAGCAAAATGTATTTTTGAAACATCAAACGTTTATTTTTACTACCCGAATGCATTTTCCGGAACCGAATAAACATCTCTACCAATTTGTGTCAGATGATGCCCGCTACACTTGACCATGTCAACTCCGGATAGCTTTCCCGCCTTAATCCAATGGTTATTTGGGTAATTTTGTTTAAAACCCAAACCGTAATGGCGACACCCGTTTATGTTCTATTGTTGTTATTCAAAAATGGAAATACAAACGCCAAGTCAAGAAAAGGTAACACAAACGCCAAGTCACAATATTCTAATTACGGTGTGCGAGACAGACCTGGAACTACTGAAAATTATCTGTGTAACAGAAAGCACTATGTATCATTTCCCTCTATAAATTCTACCAGTCGAGTCATTATACCTGTGGGGTACCACAGGATTCCATGTTGGGTCTTGTACTCTTCTTTCTTTATATAAATGATAAATGTAATACCTCAGACAGTACAATGTTTCTCAGAATAATCCCGCTCTTGCCAAGTAGATAATTCCCTTTGATGGTTTTATAAAACACGCAAAAAACAACCCTGACCCAATTACATGGTTTCTGGTGTAACGAATCTGGAAATTCCCAGCTACTTTACTATCGGAAAAACAAAACACTGCTCTCCAAAATAAATGGATCAAGTGCAGTTGGCAAAACGGTCACGCACGCATGGAGCAAATGCAAGATAAAATGATTGATGGCCATGATTGACAGGCGCACCTAATTTGAGCATTCCTGTAATTTCCCGTACTTTTCGGCCTCTGGAATTGTGCTCTCTATATGTCTATAAAAGAGCGGACCGGTAGGTTGACTAGACGTTTCCATCTAGACATCATGTGTGGTGGTTTTGCAAACAACTCAGTCCGTTATTAGAAGGAGCGTGGACAAGCAGTCAAGGACAAGAGCCTTCTTTGAGAGGAGTCGAACAACATCTCGATCGCCTGTGTTAATGTAAGCCCGATGATGTCAAATTCATACAAACTTATTAGTATTTCCATTACGAAACAACAAACAAACGGTGACTGCTCTATGTTCCGACACCCCTATGTTCCGACAACCTAGATTGTGTTACTCCCGGTTAGGGTTAGGGTTAGGATTAGGGTTAGGGTTAGGGTTAGGGTTAGGGTTAGGAATAGGAACATGTGCAGTCGGAACATAGGGGTATCGGAACATAGAGGTGTAACCCAAACAAACGACGACACCTATTTGCGTATTAACAGGTGTCGGGAGGTTAATTGGAAAAAAAATGCTAGTATAGCGTTCTTCAGAATGTGTTTTGAAATAGGAATCTGTATTTGAGATTGTTTTGAGCCAAACAGAAGATTATGTTTTGACGCATTCCTACCGCTATAAATGTATTGTCTGGTGGGGTTTCGAAACAACATTTCTCACAAAACGGATTCGAGATCATATGTTAATTGTAGTCAGTATTTGAGAAGTAAATTCATTGTATTTTTTTCTACTTTAGGCTTTTCAACAACAAATCTCCTTGCAGTGTTTTCAAGATTTCATCTTAAAAAGGTAAGTGACAGCAAAACCAAGTGGTTACGTATGAGTTCGTTGAATACATGTATAACATTTGTATATTTTATCGACAAAGTATCAGTCGTTCCCTTTTTAGCAAATGTTTTAAATTTTCCAAGAAGTTAATAAATTTGTTGGGAAATGGATCAAACTTTCGGTGTTTATCGCTTCAATATAAAGCCCCCCCCCCCCCCGCTCATAAACAAAGACCAGACCGGCGGATTTTATATTCGCTCAGACTGAAATACTGTTTTATATAATACCGAGGTTAAAGTTTTAGAAAGTGAAATAACTATTAAATGTCCGATGATTATGTTACAGCACTGACACATTTTCCTTTCATCCACGTGATTTCAACTTTTGGTGTCATCTTGTACCGTTAAAAAAAATATATATACATCAAAAATCATTGATTGCAGTATCAACTCCTGTATTCAACTGCAGACGGCCAACTGCCACCTGCAAATCCTTTATATCATGGTCATTACTGTTTCGACTTTTGAACGGCACCCACGAGAAACTTTGATTACGGAACCGGTAGAGAACTTTTCAACCCGACTTCACAATGACAAAAGGTTTCATTGATTCTTGCCTGATCGACTCACATTATTATAGTAGATGACCGCAAAATGAGCTGAGTTTGCTTTTTGAAAGGTTCTAAACCGTTGCCATCTGCAACATCAAACTTAAATCCCAAATTTTGAGTTCGAAGTGAGCATTGCCTTCACGACAAAAGCAACATGATATACATGTACTTAAATATTAGACGATTTCTACCCATGAAAATGTCTGGCCCTATACGGGTCAACACGGGAACCCAATTGCGCATTCACGTCAGTAATGCCATGGCAACATAATGTCACATGACATGTTTTAACCAATACAAAATGATCTCAGGCACACCAAGTTGACTGTATCTGCAACAGTGCGATGTGCAAACACTGGATCAACTTGAAAAACATGAATTATGCATAGAGCAATCATTACCATAACAACATAAAGTCACATTGCATGTTTTAGCCAATGGAAAATGATTTCAACTACACCCTGTTTGATATACCTGCAACAGTGCGACTTGCAAGCACTGAATCAACTTGAAAAGCCGGAACTGTGATATAACCGCAATCATTACCAAAAGAACATAAAGTCACATAACATGTTTTCAACCAATATAGTAAATTATTTCAACCTCACCCTGTTGGATGTATCTGCGATGTACAAACAGTGGATCAACTTGAAAAGCAGGAATTATGCATAGACGCAATCATTACCATACAAACTTAGAGACATACCTCTCAAAGAATATTTGTTTTCAATTGTGAACGATTCCAAATCAAGCCATACTATTCGGTGGATGTCTCATTGGCAACTTTGGCAAGCACTATTGTTGGCCAATAGCAATGATCTTTTTTCTTATGAGCTTTACGTTTTACTTAATTTATATTGTATTTTACTTCGCAATTAAAACACTAATATTCGTTTCGAATGTTGTTCTTATATGAGAACCTGTACTGTATCTTATTCATTTTTTTAAAGATGGTAATTAATGATATATTTAAAGTAGAAGAAAATAAGAAGTGTTCACCTCACATAAATATTTCAGTAAACGTCTAAAGTAGCGGCGATTTATTTGAATATGATCTTGCGTTGGCTGAAACTTTCAAAAGATTTCCCTCAAGTTTTGTCTCATCCGGTCCAGCAATAAAGTACAAGAAGGTGACTATTTACCGCCCCTTTTCACAAAGGATGATTTACTGTTTTCCTGCCCGGGAAATGGTTTGAAAGAGCGTGTGTCTGAGGGATGCCTGTGCGAAAGGGGCGTCCGAACTGGAACCTGGCGGGTGAAGAGCCTGTAGTCGAGTGTGGTGTGGCGCGGTAATTGCGTAGAAATTTGTGGAGTTTCTGTTTCCACGCTTTCTGCTCAACATGTGCGATGCGGTATATATTTTTCAATGTTCGCATGAATCGCTCTACCCAGCTCAGCGTTCGCTCGAGGCCACAAGGGTGTAATGCGGCGATGCTTGAACCCGAGATATGCTGCAAATTTACTGAAGTCAGACTGGACAATTTGCGGAACGCCAAATTGTGAGAATATGGCATCCAGTTTTGGAATGACAGTCTTGACGAAAGTCGAAGTTACAATTTCGACCACAAGATAGCGGCTGTAAACATCTCGTACAACAAGAAGGTATTCACCTGAAGGTAAGTCAGCAAAATCCCCACTGACTTCAAGCCATGGTCCGGCTGCAGCCGGCTGGCAAGGTAGACATTTGCAGTGGCTCGCGTATGTGCTGGACGATGTTGCTTGGCAGGGAATGCACTGGCTGATTTTGCGTTCAACCAGCTTTTCAATGCCAGGGAACCATACTATTCCCTGAGCAATTGTTTATTTTTTTTTTTCAAATGCCCTGATGTCCTTCATGGGCGAGTTCGATGACATGGCTTTGGGCTGAAGTGGAGATGACGATGCAGTTTCACCGTAGGATCAGGTAATTTGTCGGGATAACTGTCAGTTCGTCGCGTATTGTGTACATGCTTTGCAGCGTGCTTTTGTTGTCAGGATCCACTGCCTGCTTCATGAGTGTTTTCCAGTTGTTCCTTTTCAGGGCTTCGATTCAGAGTTGTAGTGCGTGATCAGTCTCAGTTGCATTTTTTATTTCACTCAGTATGAGAGTCTTTGGGAGTCTCTGGTCACGAAGCTGACGTTGTTCTGCCATTATATATTCTGCCAAATATATTACACGGCAGGAATTAACAATTTATGCAAATTAGGCAGCCTTCCCAAAAGAATTTCAGGTGTCACCCCTTCTTAATATCTTCTTTAGGGCTATAAGAATCTATCTGCCAAGTTTGGTGGTTTGGACAAGTCGGTCACGATACCGAGTGCCATAATTATGCCACCTGACTAAGTATAGAATCGGAGGATGGAGAGAGATTGTTTAGCCTGGAAGTGACATGTGGCTTCACAATTATTATATATTCAACGTGGGTGTTTGGATGCTACAATTATGTCATGTACTTAAGGTAGTTTGCGTCGTAAACATGCAGCGATGGCCATGCATACCATCTGCATTAATGAGACAATCGATCAGGTAATTTTGAAGTATCTGAAACCAGTATCATTGACACTCTAAACATCCTCTGAATCCGCCTTGGCTCAACTCCCCAAAACCCCAGTGTCGACCGTCCCTTCGCCTGCCAAGTTAGCACTGCGCTGTACCGGATCTATATATTTCAAGTTTGGCAAGTTTGTACATAGGTGTCATCTACTATCAACCTAACTCAACATATGAATGTGAGATTCTGGATCACATATGCAACGCTGTAGATCACATTCGTGCGTCAGACATATGTCAGCAATAATTGCCCTCTTCGGTGATTTCAATGGCTTGAAATGTGACCCAATCGAGGCTAAATTGAGTATGACACAACTGATTTCATTCCCTAATCGTGGTAATGCTACCCTGGACAATATCATTGTTTTCACCAATTGTCCTGTCCTGTTCAAGGAACCTGAGAGACTCCCACCTCAGGAAGCTAGTGATCATTGCTGTGTCCTCCTCTTGGCGGTCTGCGAACTCCATCAACAGAAAAAGGGCGCAACAAGCTTTCGACCCTACAGAGATTCTTCTGTGCGTTCGTTTGGTCAGTGGATAGTCGACTACGACACTGGAACAGCACACTCATTGACTCATGTACTGATTCAGTGGGAAACTCCTTGACTACAGTTACAGATGCCTACAATTTTCATTTTCCACTGGTAACCTCTACACCGCAGAAAAATGACAAATGTTGGAGGACACATCGCTTGAAGCAGTTAGTTAAACAACGACAACACGTCTTCAGAAGTGGTAACATGAACAATTTGCGTTCACTTCGTAACAAGATACAGCGGGAAATTAGGACTGCCTATAGTGTGTGAGATCTATAAGCACACAGTCCAACATCTGAAGTGTCGCCAGCCTGGCGAATGGCACAGACAAATTCAAAGTGCCATGATCCCTTGTGCCGACGTCGACTCCAGAAACTACATCTACTGCCCTTGATCTCCAAGGTTTACCTTCATATTTACCAGCCAGGTCACCACCCTCTCTTATATACAGGGGCCAACCAAAGACGGCCACCCCTCTGATTTGCCAGTACGACTGATCAGTGAGTTTGCTCATGAATTGGCTGACCCTCTCACCTGCTGGTACAACCGCGCCTTCCTACTCGAAGGAAAGTTTCCCTCCGTTTGGAAGACAACAACTATTGTGCCCATTCCTAAGGAGAGGAATATATCAAGCCTCGACCAGCTTCGGCCAATCTCCCTCACACCGATTTTCGCAAGAGTGTTTGAAACCTTTCTCGCAAAATGGATCCTCGAAGACATTTCTTCAAAGCTGGATGTCAATCAGTATGGCAACGTCAAAGGCAGCTCTACTGTGCACTTTCTCGTGGACATGCTTAACTTTGTGCATGAGGGACTTGATAAACCTGGTCATTTTGCTAACCTTTGTGCCGTAGATTTAGGAAGGCTTTTGATCGGGTGAACCATAACATTGTCATTTGAAAGATCATTGAACTTGGAGTTAGACATTCTATCATTCCCACTGTCTGCAGTTTCCTCACTGAAAGTACCCAAAATACTTAGCTTTGCGGCCATTTGTCAACGACTCAGGGCATTTCCTGCGTAGTTCCTCAAGGCACCAAATTGGGTCCCATTATGTTTCTAATTTTGGTTAATAATGCATCAGCTGCAAACTGCAGACATTGGATATATGTTGATGATTTAACTATAGGTGAAGTAGTGAAGCATGGTCAACCATCTCACATGCAAAACTATCTTGATGACTTGTCAAGTTGGTGTTATGACAACAATGTACTTCCAATGCCATCTGAATGTCAGACCATGATATTAAGTTTTTTGAAGCGTGACACTCCTAGGTCCTTATTTAAACTTGATGCCGCAGCATTGAACCCTGTGACCTCTATGAAGTTACTTGGTGTTACTGTACAAATATACTAATATACCCACCTCTCACATGGTTGCTTTGTACACTGGTTACTTAAGGCCCATTTAAGAGCATGCTAGTCAGGTTTGGCAAAGTTCTATTAGTGTCCGCCAAAGTGATGCCATTGAAAACATACAGAGACGTGCAGTGCGTATCATTCTTGGCCATGGCTATGACTCTTACACCGCAGTACTCAGCGTGCTTGGGTTGCCTACCCTTAAATCTAGGAGGGAGGATCTGCTGCTTAAGTTTGGTAAAAAACTTCTTAACTCTAAAGATTTAGAGGCATGCTGCCATCACTTAGGGAAAGTGTGTGTAGCAGAGAGCTTAGATCATCAACCATCACTGGCATGCAGGTACCTAAGTGTGAGCCTGTTTATAGATACAAGTAGTCCACCATTCCATCATTACTTAGCATTTTAAATTGTATCAACTAGTGATTTTATTTGGGTATGTAGTACATGTACATGTACACAGTACATGCAATTGAAAATATTTCCAGAGAATTACCTTGTGGTGTTGGCCCTGCGTGCGAATATGAAGGGGAAGCTAAGATCACTGACGATTCTAAAGGTGTCGTACCGCATCCATCGCGTGGTACAACTGCTGCAGGAGATTGTCTGAGCGAATCAACTTCATTCAACATTTATTTTTCAGATCAACAGCAACGATGACATCGACTTGGATTCTTTCTGTGCTTGTGCTCAGCATTGTTTGCCGTAAGTGTGACAATCAAGAATTCATAAAAATATTAAATATTTTTTATTTTTTATTGTCCGGAGCATTGGTTTACTTTTGTATCAATTATTTTCTTCATCCTTGTTGGTCTTTTGTGTTGCAAATTGTGTAGAAAGAATCCATTTTCCAAAAAGTGACCGGATTAAATTTGGTCTTTCTGTTCTTACCGACGCTATACCATGGAGAATTCACTGGATGTTTAATGCGCTTAATCAATTCAATAAAACAACTTTTGATGAAGGGTGATAAGTCAATTTCCAGCTGTGAATAACATGCCTAGACTAATCAGGCACATCACTAGGCCTATGCCAGTATACATGTATAAAGCAGTTGTAGTTACTTCTTAGTTGAGTACTTTTTTTCCGAGTACCGAGTACTACCGAGTACTTAGATTGCCGAGTAAGAGTACGAATACTTGTACTTCCGAGTACATGTAGAGGTCTCCGAGAACAAGTACTTGTGCTTCCGAGTACGAGTGCGAGTACTTCCGAGTACGAGTGCGAGTACTTCCGAGTAAGAGTACTCGTATACAGACGAGATATTTTGTGATTTTCGTCACGAACAAGTTACAACTTGGTCACAAAATTGCCACACATTATTTAGAGGCCGACAATTTTTGACAGGCGAACGTGGACGGCACAACGTGCACCGTGGCAGATTCGTGGTAACGTACGTGTACTACCCATAATCTGCTTCCCTGACGTGATAATCCTAGGCCTGTGTTTATGTATGTGGGCCTGACGCCAGAACCAGACTAGGGGCCCATACTGCAAATGGTTCATTGTGCATTGTGCGTAATTGGCCAAGGCCCAGTCAGACCGATATACAGACCAACTCATGGCTAGCTGTTGGTTGTGTTTGTCCGGACATGCGTAGAGGAAAGTCAGGAAACTTTGATTTCTCCGCAAGTCAATAAACCATTTCTAACTGAAAGTATTGATAAAATACGGCCGTGGTAGTAAAGCTATAACATTTTTTTTTCCCGAGTACTGCTATTCGAGTACGAGTACGTTGATGATCGAGTAAAATTTTGACATGTCGAGTACGAGTACTTTGCTGCCCGAGTACGAGTACCGTCATTTCGAGTATGAGTACTTTGACATTCGAGTACGAGTACGAGAACGAAAACTCCAAAAAAGGACTCGAGTAGTATTCGAGTACGAGTACCGACTACGAGTACTACAGCACTAGTATAAAGAGTTCTGCGCCTGTCGTTATTAAATTCAGATGATAATTGACTTTGATCTTCATAAAGTTATTTATCGATTAACAGTACATTTTCTTCTTGAAAAATAAATCACAAGCATAGACGTAAGTTTCCAATTTGGAAGTGATTATTTTAGCCCGAGTATAAAATACATTGAGTTTATAAATTAATTCCGAGGAAATCCAAAGATTAAGGCAAGGACTTGAAAACCCAATTTACCTGTTGGCGTTCATGGGTGGCCCTAGTCACAGAGATAAAAGGCGAGTACCCAGGGCGGATCCAGGAATTTTCGCAGCGGGGGCGCTGTCCAAATTTTGTGCACAGGCGGACATTATTACCAGTATAATTAATTTTGGGTGTGAGAGCAGGGGGGGGGGGGCGCTTCGCATTATTTTTAAGGAATTTCTATGAAAAAAAAAATGACAGAGCTGGGGGTGGGTTTCTTTTTACCCCCCCCCCCCCCGGATCAGCGCCTGGTCATATTGCCCAACAGTCTGATCCAGCCAAGTATACGAACTATCAACTGGGAACACCTGAACTGGGAACACCCACACACTGCTTCACCAATCATGACTGATTTTTTTACTTTTACATTTATTTACAGAATTATGTTCCTGTCACCCTATCAGCGAGGGACCTACCCTTGATGGATTCGTATTTCCTTCAGGTAATTTACCAATTATTAAACTGAAAGGAGACAATACCTTAGCCCTTTCAGGACCGGGGTGGGGGGGGGGCACAGTGTGCCCATTCGAAAGTCGTTGTAATTGCCGCGGAACGCCATGAAATTAAATATGCTCGACAGGCCAATATGGGTATCCAAACTAATCATCAGGCATTCATTACTGCCTGTCTCCCATTCACAGAGCCTGTAGGGTTTGCGAGACTTGAAATCAAGTCGGTATTGGCCGGGTTGTGTTCGTTCGCCCGCCACGCGCCGCGATATGGACAGCTACCGCGTATATACGTACCGACGCTTGGTATTGCAATTATATTTTTTTTTGGGGGGGGGGGAATTGTGCATCCTCGACCCCAATAATGAGTGTACGTCGGTTCCCATTACATTTCCAACCTAGACGGGATACACATGCGGTTTGAATCCCTATTTTGGATGATTATTTTTATCTGGCACACAATGGACAATATGCATTTGATTTTCACTTTGAATTTGCAAAAATGCATGTATGTGGTTTTGTAAAATAATCTCATAAAAATGATGATTAAACAAGTAACGTTTAACTGTGCAAGTAGATATTGGGGGCGCCGACAGACAAACCTCAACTGTCGAGTGACTTGTCCTTAAGTCTTAAGGTTTTTCCAAAACCTTACTCTCGCCCAATTTGAGGATTATCCATCACCAGCGATGCAAGTGCAGTCGAGTTACACTAAGTCCTGATTTAACCAGTTGAATTGCTGAATGATTGATTCCTTATTATTTCATTAGCACCATGCATCCCCGAGGCCTTGGGGATGGAAGACGGAAGTATCCCTGATAGCAGCCTCACGGCTTCGTCCGTCTATAGTAGCTATCGCCCAAGCACCGCTCGACTTAATGTAGGTAGGTATCGCATCCTTTCTATAAACATCAATTCTCCATAAATACAGGGTGAGTCACAAAGAAAGTGACCTGGATTAATCAGTTTTCCCCTTTTAAAGCAAGTAAATTTTATACATCAATGGAGCGTATATAAAACGAATGTCTTTCACTCATGAAAAAAGGAATTACTGAAATTGATCCATACTGTCAGAACCTATGCATACACGTTTTACTAAAAAGAACCCACTTGTTACAGCTGTCCATGAATGCTAAATGCATTCAAGCTATCAGCGGATTGAGAACCCGAGATTACACATTCACAGGTATTCAAATACTAAATATATTTTTAAGACAATACTAAATATATATGTTAAGACTCGAGTCAAGACTCTCAAGACTGAACCATTAGTTTATGTCAGACTTTGTGTTATGCATATGAGGAACAAGTCAAGTCTTTTCCTCCAAATGATGATGGTGATATTTGTCTGTTTTCTTGGGCAAGTCGAGCCTTATTAGATTTCCTCGAGTCAAGTCGAGTCATTCTGATGAGGAACTCGATTCGATTCGAGTCATTTGCTCGCAGTGACTCAAGTCGAGTCGAGTCATTTACCCATAGAGACTCGAGTCGAGTCGAGTCACCAAAAATATGACGCGAGTCGGACTCAAGTCGAGTCATTGACTCGAGTCGTTACAACTCTGTCAAACGGTATTCAATCAATGCGTATCGGTACATGAACAGTGGTGCATAGCTGAATTTTGGGGTATTTAAATGAAAATAGAGATAACTTGTGACATATAACATGCACTATAGGGCTATTACTATATACTTTTTATTAAATGGAACGATATTATCATATTTATGTTGTATGCAGTTATATATATGCTCGCAGGTTTAGCGCAGTTTCGTATACTATTATAACGCTGTAGGCACAGAATGGAGACCAAAGACTTTGGTCAGTAGCATAAACATGGAATTAATGGGCGAACGTTTTCTTTTAGTGCATTTGCCAACACAGATATTCTCTTTATAATTTCATTATTACGCTGAACTCAAGCATGAGGGCCAATTTACACTAGAAGCGCAGCGTTGCGTGGTAATAAACAATTGGATGGAAAAAACCTTGGAACTATGCAAATTCATGCTGATGATTAATGAAAGATAACGGTATGATCAAGCTCCATAAATAAACCACCCAAGCGGTGATTGGTCAGAATGCAGGTTTATTTTGGAAAATCTGCACCAGTTTCCACCAGCGCAGCGGTTTGTTGCTCGCGCTACCTGGCGGTAGATACCGCGTAGTGAAATTGGCGATTGATTGTTTTATATCTAGATAAAAAAAATTATGTCTGTCTGAATAACATTCAAATTTTCTGCAAAACCTTGCCAGTGACCGTATTTGTTCAACGAAATTCGACGTATCGTAGCTGAAATTTACTCCGACCATGGTTTCTCCTCGTCGCTTCCACAATGTAAACGTCAAAAGAAGATTTTAGCCTCCAGATTGTAGGTGTTATTTTGTAATTTGCGCATTATTTTCACATAGGCACACTTTCCATTACGATAACAATGAAACCATTCTATCATGTCAAACAGGAAGCTATGGATGGAAACCAAGCACTCCAGCAGATCAGTGGATCCAGGTCGACCTGGGTAAACCCACGGTGGTTACCGGGCTCACCATGCAAGGACGCAACACAGGAACCACTTATTATGTCAGGGCATTTTCAGTCCAGCACAGCCTCACAGCCGAGTCGGATGACTGGCAGAGTTTAGCCAATGCCGACGGTGGAGCAATCAGAGTGAGTTACGGAGGGCGCTTTCCAAACATTCAGTCATCTTTATTAATTGCTTTCCACAGCATCGTTGGCCTAAAAATGCTAGTTCCAACTTGGAACCAAGGTATTTCAGTTTGAAACTCTGTTGTAATTTTGGCAAATACAACATGTGGAGATTTGCATTGTATTGAAAAAGCAATATTATTTGTTTGGTTTATTTTCTCCCATTTCTTTAAATCTTTAAAATTCTATAGTTCAATCCCTTTCAATAAAGTGCTACCTTCCTTTTCCAAGGTAAACGATAGGTTCTGAGATTGTTGCCTTTGTTCCTTTTTTTTTTAATAATTACATGATTTGTGTCAAAATCTTTTACATTTTTTTGGGGGGACGGAACTGGTGGGGGGAGGAGGGGTTGACCCCCAACCTCCTCCCTCTGGATCCGCGCCTGTCCTTATTTCCATCCTTTAATCTCCTCCATCACCATGCATGACAGGAATGATGAGTGAAAAGACCAAAGCGCTAATACGAACAAAAAAGCAGAATATCCACCTGAGACGAATGTTCCGAAGTTAGGACTTATTGTATTAAACCTTTGGCTAATTAATCTGCGAAAAGGTTGAAATTTGAAGCCGAAATTAACACAATCCAGTCGAACGATGTTGTGGATCGAAATAATGATTATGTTCCGATTTTTTTTTTATAATAAAACTTTGTTAAATGTAAATGGGACACCTGTATTAAATTGTCATAACTTATTACTTTCTATGGTAATTGGAGCTATATATAGCAAACCAAAGGCAAACTATTTTCCATGACTCACCCATGCAGCCATGTAAGGGAAAATCATCCTATGCAACAAATATATTTTTCCTAGAACTGTACCGGCATGTACCGGAATGTTCCAAATGAAAATTGCACACTTTCACTCTAATCCTGCTTTTGCCTTTTTTTATATTTTTAGTTCACCTTGAGCAGTGGTCGGCCGACGAATGTCACCTTTCCTGTGGTACCCTTTACAAGGTTTGTTCGCATACTACCACTGGCCTGGGAAGATTCCTATTACTACGTGAGGTTTGAGGTATTCGGATGCCAAGGTACTTAATAAAGCTATTGATTCGTTAGAAAAATCACATTGAGCGAAGTCATTCATGTTGTTCAAAAATGATTTAAAGATCTTTAAGACATGACATTTGACAGCCAGACCTCTACATTGGATTTTTTTTTTTTTTTCAAATTAAAGCGTTATTAAATTATTCTATCTGCAGGATATTTCGTTTCACATTCAAACTAATTCAGTAATTTTTTTTTAATCGACAACAAAATGTCCTGAAGATCGATGAAAGTGTTTGATTTTTCCGTTACATTGTATACATTGTTTATTTTTAGATCAACTAAAACAAAACGAGTGAAGCTGATATCACAATTGATTGATAGTTTAACCTTTTTAACTTTTTAAACTTGCAGTCATTCTTATAGTTTAATTCAAAATGGCAAATTATTTTACAGTCCCTGATGGTCATGTGAGGTTGGTGAATGGCACTGACGATTGGAGTGGCCGAGTGGAAATCTACCGTCACGAAACAGGAACCTGGGGAGTGGTGTGTGGTAATGACTGGGGGATAAACGACGCCAACACGGTGTGCCGTCAGCTGGACCTCGGTTTTGCAAGCAAGGTCATGACAGCCTCAGAATTTGGGGGAGGCGACCTGCCGATCATGATGAATCGAGTCGCCTGTGAGGGGACGGAGAGCCGACTGGTCGACTGCCCGTTTATCTGCAACAACTACCAGCAGTGTGAAAGCTCAAACGTTGCCGGAGTAGTTTGCAACCTAAAAAGTAGGTGTCAGTTTTAGTCCGCCTGATTATAACTGAATACATTGCTCCTTTTTCTTATCAAAATTGAATGTTTGGTTCATTAGGCGTGTTTTTTTTTTTATTCCTTGGTGCATTTAATGTCACAGTACTTTATGATTATGTTCAATCCCCCAATTTAACTGGATTTCGATATTTTCCTTCCCCGTACTGTACTCATGTTTCCTTGTTGGAATGTTCCCGTTTTGAGTTTGTTTTTCTTGCGAGCTATGTATTATTTTGTCACCTCAAACGTTTTACTCCCTTTTCTCCAGCTATTTGTTTGGAAATGTAGGCTAAGGTCAATCATATAAATCAAAAAATGGTTTGGTTCCGATATTTCATTCAGATAATTTGAAGTACCGAACACATTTTTTTCATAAAACTGCCATTTTGGCCTTGTTTAAATTTCAATTGATAACATTGAATGCATCAATGGTTAATAAGCGGGAAAAGCACTTAATTCCAAGATGGCTGCCATTCGATGGGTCAATTTTTGTACGGATAATGAGTGGTTTTCTTAAACATTATGAAACAAAAGGTCGTCATGTGGTATGTTGACTGAGCTTTATTCATTCCCTGAATCGTACTTGAAACAGATACTGTTAGGTTGGAGGGAGGACCCAATTACTTCAGTGGCCGGGTGGAGATCTTCCAAGACTTCACGTGGGGAACGATCTGCGACCGTGACTGGGACATCACGGATGCCGGGGTGGTCTGCCGACAACTCGGCTACATCGGTGCCGAGGAGGCCAATTCCGGTGCGCACTACGGGGAAGGAAGTGGCCCGGTGCACATGAAGGGCGTGGCCTGTACCGGCTCGGAGGGGGGACTCGTTGACTGCCCATCTCACTGCTGGACAGCAACCACCTGCAGCCACAGCCAAGATGCCGGGGTCATCTGCATTGTCGGTAGGAACACAGACAGGTTTTGATTCATCACAAGAAACAACGTTAAAAATAGAAATAGCACAAACAACGAAACAAACTATAAGCAGCAAACTAAAGGGTATATAATACACAAATATCATTGGGTCTCACTGAATTCAAAACACTGGGTTGATTATTTCTGACATCTGCGTTTTAAAATCCGAATCAAACACTTTTGATAATAAATCAAGTGTCACACAATGAGTCCATACAAACTAATCGAAGTGATTATCAGGTGATGCGCGCGCATGTTGGGAACCCTATTGGTCAAAGGAGCATTATAATATCGCATGCTAATCCTGCGCGTGAGATCGTCATATAACCACATTAACGGCTTCTAATTATTGAGGTCGGCGGATTTTTTTCTGTTGTAAATATGATATTAAGAACTGTATTTGAATGGGATTTTCTCTTCTTTCATTGTTTCAGAATCTAGTGGTTTTGAAGAAACCAACAGTGAGTGACGAGACTATTGACAACCAGCTTCATGCAGTTCCTGTGATAGCCCTGCTTAAAGGCTACATTTACCTGTATTATGGCATACGCTTGGTATGAATGTTACTCCGTTGTGTATTAAAATGTATCAATTAATTCGTAGTGTAATTAATTTCTTCTTGTGCCATTTCAATTAATGTTGATGTCTAGTAACTTTAAATGAGCTACTCAAACGACTCCCATTCACCAAATTTCAGGCTGACCTAATAGGGTTTAAAGAAGGGAAAACAGAGAAAAACGAAATTCACTCAATACAATGACATTTACTTTTTATTTCCTTTATTGAGGACGGATTTGGGTTCTTTTTGTTAAGCCCCTGGCACACTTTTGCGTATCCTAATTCCTTATGAGTTCCTTATCAAAAATTTTCAATACGCAGCCGTACGCTTAAAACGTCAAAAAACTTTGATTTCTTTGACTTATGTGCGACCGCACATCTAGCGTACAAGTAACGAATTCAGCGCATCCATTGCGTATGAGATGCGTATGAGTTGCGTTTGCAGTGCACAAGTACGCTATCTGTGCGTTTCTCATAAGTTACGAATAAGTACAATGCGCTGCCCGCTCGCAAGACGAGCGGTACTCATTCGTGCAATACGTAGGCATTCGCTATGAGTTCGTTCAGCGTGAGTTGTATCTGCGCTGCAAGTACGCTATGTATGCGTCCAATATAGGCGGCTCATATGCTGACGGGGTGCGTGCCGGGAGGTCAGCGGTATTACCGCGTATGAACCGCTTATCCCCCACGAACACATAGCGTACTCGTACCGCGCTCGACCGATACGGGACCGATGCGCTGCGTATTTATAACTTATGACCTGCGTAACAGCGTACGCAGCATAGTTTTGTGCATGCCCAAAACTATCCAGCGTACTGGGCCGTACCATGCGTATGCCTGCGTACATAAAACTTACACAAAACGATAGAGATGCATATGAGGTGCGTATTGTGCGTACGACTGCGTATGAAAAAAATGTCAATGCGCAACTCATAAGGAATTAGGATACGCAGAAGTGTGACAGGGCCCTTACATAAGAACAAGTGCATTTACAATCAATAGTGCTAATGGCCGAAGCACATGTACTTTTCACTTCAATTAATAAAATTGTAGTAGGTCACGCCTTTGGATAGAAAGAGACATAGTATGCTTTTATGATTAATTTACATCATAATTTTCTCTTGCTCAATTTTGTTTTTCGATTTGAACAAAACGCATGATAAAAACATTCACATTCAGTTTAGTAAAATATAAGGCATGTTTTAATACAACGTGTAGCAGAAACTGATTTGCAGTATTGTTTGTGAATGTAATTATAAAAATATCTTGCTTTCTCTTTAGCTTCTCGTGAATACTTTGTTCTTGGAATCTACAGTCAAAATTGCATCTTATACCAACATATTTACACATTCCTCTCTGATCAAAACGTTGTCACAATTATTTTAAATACAACAAGAATCATGACCTCATGAATATTCAAAAAACTAATACTCATTTCGGACGGCTTATGTGTTATTCTAGAAACATCGAGTTATATTTCACAATCATTATTGTTATCAAACTTACACAATAGGTCCTTGTCGTTAATAAATGGATGGGTGCACTTATATTAAAGCTGTTGGTAAAATTCTAAAGATTCCACCGCTTGCCAATTCATTTTGAAAATATAATCATCAATCCATAAGATTCTTACTCGCTTATAAGAATCGAATATAATTATTCATATAAAATTTAAGATTCTCATAGGATATTATAAGTTAAATTCGTAAGGAATGGTTTCAATATATAATCAACTCCTCGTCATTTTGATCAATAAATATGTCATGGTACTTAAAAACCTGTTCATCTGGCGAATTCAAATTTTTATCAATTTTTGCTTCTTAAAGATGCGGACCGGGCTGCATAAATAATGACAATTTTCAGGTCGATTAGGTAAGACAAAAATAAATCAGCCATCTGATTTATTGCAATCATTACTCAAAGGGAATGAATATTCTTGTGGTCCTAGTTATGGTAATGAACATGTTAGAATGTGTCATCACAGCTTGTACTTCCGGTGTTGCTGCTCTTCAGCCTGCAGGTGCATGATGGTCTCATGGTGATTGGGTTCCAGATTAGTCAGTAGCTGGTCAGCGATGCGATTGCGCAGCCTTGTGCCGACATGCCAGAAAAAACCCCAAAAAACAAGAAACAAAGAAAACCATGTAGAAATAGAACTGCAAACAATGGAAGAAGTTCAGTCTGATACTATAATTAATTTGAAACTACAAGACAACAGACGACTCCTTAAAATTAATGTTGGCAGCATGTGGGCCTCTCCAGTGCTATACTGCATTATTCCAGCCGTGTCATTCACAATTTCATTAAGTGCACGCATGTCAAACTTCTGTTGCACTGCGATTGCCGAGCCTTGTGCCGACCTACCGGCAAGTCGATCATGAATTGTCCACCATCATGAGCAATGGCAAATGGAACCATTGAACATTATTTTCAATATTCATTTGCCATTTTAAAGTTTTTGAGTGGTCGGGCACAACCCAACCACTCTTTGCTGTAAAATTAAAGTGAAGCTCGTTGTAGCAGACACTGCATAGATGTATCGTGATATGGAGTGGCTACTATAGAATCCACAAAACAAAGCGAAGAAATTCATTTCAGCTTATGACAAAAAATCTAAAGAAAATGTCTTCTGTAAGATGGAGGTAATTTTCCTTCACACGGGGAATTTTTGATTAAACAATATACAAATATAACATGGTTTGTTACTATACCTCATACACACTCATGATCGAGAGCCGAACTCTCACTGGTCAATTCACTATCACGTGCCAGATGTTATTCTTGCTGTTTACCAAACGCGCGCGCGAGGATTCACGCACAGGGTAAATACGCATGCGTAGTAGACTGTCGCATGGGTTACCCGTGCGACAGTCTACTACGCATGCGCTCTACAGAGCAATCGCGGAACTGTCGCACGGGTGCAATACGCACGCGCGAACATCGCCCAGGAGAGATACATGGTTGCACGGTTCGCGTAAATGTTAATTTCCAGAGCTCAATGATGCCGTACTGGAGAAAATTTATGGACCGTGTAAAGATGCCTCCTGTACAAAAGAAAGTTGTACACAAACAACTGTATTTACAACTGTAGTAACTGCATTTTATTGCAAACGAACCGAACTAGTAATTGAAGTTGAGCAACAATATTCTTTTGGTGAGCTGTACAAGTTTCCCCGAATTTTGTTTAAGGTGCATATATAAAAAAAAAATCGGCAACTGAATATGTATGAAGTATAGTAAAACAAATATAACATGGTTTATTTCGGGTGGACAGTCGATATTAGCTCCCCTCGTATTGGAAGTTGACAAACTAGTTCCCTCCTAGTTTGTCAACTTCCAATACCTCGGGAAGCGAATATCTACTGTCCACCCTCAAACCATGTTATATTTGTATAATGTTGGATAGTCGATATTAGCTCCCGGAGGTATTGGAAGTTCGCCGAGGGAACTATTGTTTGTCAACTTTCAGCACCGAGAAAACTAATAATTATACAAATATAACATATGGTTCGACGGTGGATAGTCAATATTGCTATACCTGATCCATTTTCATAGGCCTGAGACCTAATGATGGCACGCTTTGATTACATGTGCGCTTTCCTATGTGGTAGACGGACCATCCTTTGTCTGGCGTCACGACTTTGCTCCCATAGGAAAGCGCATATGTAAACAGAGCCATTACGTCATTAGGTCTTAGGTCTATTCTTAATGTTCTATTTACCATCACGTGTCAGCCGCTATTTTTGCTGTCTATTGATCGTGTGCACTAGTATTCACACACAGGGTAAACTACACAAGCGTAGTAGTTTATCGCTCCATTATCCGTGCGACAGTCCAATACGCATGCGTTTTACGAAGCAATTGTCGAACTGTCGCACGGGTGTAGTACGCACGCGCGAACATCGCCATATCGGCATGCGTAAATGTAAGTGTAGTGGGACGGCAACAAGGAAGCCGGCCCTCTAGTTTAAGAGGACGAGCACCAGGGGCAGAATAAAAGGATGATCAGCAGAGCCAAAATGAAGGTCACTCTGAGAAGCCGACTTTAGTTAACTAGACGATTAGCACTTTTATTTACTCCAAGTTGTACCAGAATGAAAAACCCCCATTGCCTGGATAAACGAAACATAAAACAGCTCGGTAAAGAAAAGCACACCTGCGACTGTATACAATACACACTGTGTATAATACATGGTAACTGTACTACACGCACTGGCCGTTCAACATGTCACAAAGACGTGAGAAACTTTTACGTTAAGCAAACTTCACTTTCTGTTATAATCCCTACAAATATAATATTATTATACTCACTGGGGGTTTCTTAGGGGAATGCTCTACCCGTAGAATACATGGCCGTCATAGCAAAGCCATGCTGACACACGGAGACAGAAATGTGGCCGTGATATCTCCCAGAAAAAGACCGAGAAAAGTATACATCTCGAGGAGCTGCCAAATCACTCGTCTAAATATATTTATATGCTATAAGGCAAACACCTCGACAATTGTTCAACCAGACAATGAACCTACAAACAATAATCTTGGACTTACATGTATAAAATATTAACATGGTCAAAATTATACAATAATCCCGAATTTAATTGTGAAAGATGGACCTAAGGACTAGCTTCTCGTGTTATTGAAGATGAATGTAAACCGTCCTTGCGCGGGAAGCACAAAGGTCACCAAAAATACGTCATCAACATAATAATATTGCAAAGGACTAATGAGGTCGCCCTTGCTCAGGCACGGTTTCCTACATAAGTCAGCCTTTCTCCAAAGCTCAATGATGCCAAACTGGAGAATATTGTTGACAATGAAGATGCCTCATCTACTAAAAAAAAAAGTGTCCCAAATGCTGTACATTGTAAAAGAACTGAACTTTTATTAGGTTAAGCAGTATTTCTCTGGTGAGCTGGACAAGTTTTTCCGAAGATTTTATGGCGAGGCTAGGTGCGCACTGCAAAGGGAAAATTCGACAACTGAATATGTATGAGGTATAGCATTTCGTGTGGTTAGTCTTTATTACTATTAGCTCCCCTCGGTATTGGAAGTTGATGTAGTATCTGTTATTTCGCCCTCAATCGACCGTAGCGTAGAATGCATAAGTTCAATAGGTCATGTTCATCACAGAAGCAGCACACGTTTAGTAAACTTCTCGAGTGGTCTCATTCCTTAATCCAATCCCACAAGTATGTGTAGAATGTTCTTTCTACATGCCGTGTGCATGCTAAGCCCAAGTGGCCACAGGCATATTTCTTTCCACAGAAATTGCTTGAAATTCTTCTTTTTTTTTATCAATTTCCGATAATTGTTGGTCGCAAGCTGCT